TTACCCCCATAACATTCTGTTTCATAAAATAAGTAAACCATCGTTTAGACTTAAAACAACCATGCACCCTGGCTCCAGGTACGCGTGGGGGCCGAACCTCACCCGCCCATAAGTTAACGTAAGAGACAATTAACCCATCACAACATTTACAGTTTCATTGGATGAGTTGATTATTATAATTGTATTATTTATGTGAATGACATTGTGTGTTCCCTTCGTTCTAAATCACCAGTGGTTCCACTCAGTCACTATTTGGTTAACTTCTTATATAGGTGTAAACATGACCCAACTATTCGCTTGCAAAGTTCACTGCGACCTGGTTTTGATCGACCCACACTTTTTTCCTTACGTAAAGCTATTAACAATGGCCCAGTACAATTGACGTGTTTTTCTCTATTATACCCGGTCTTAGTCGATTTCACAAGCCGGCTATCAAAATTCAGTCAAGTCACCTAGCTCTGAGACCTCTGCTTATTCCCGATAAACATGTTTTGATCAGGCAAAAAAAAAATATATATAATTATTTGGAGACGACAGGGACGAGAGAGAGTGCAGTAGAACTATTGCTAGTACTTTGAAACTCAGGGGGTAAGAGAGCGCTATCTGGGGTGGAGGTGGGGGGGGGGACAGTCGCGCTCAGTGCTCACTTTTTTCTGGTGGAGGTTTTAATTTTGATGTTTTCACTAGATTTAGTGTACATTGGGTTTATGAGAATCTTTGTCAACCAGAGAATTTTTTTCTGCTTTTTCCTTATCTAATTTATATAAAAAGAAACAAGTAAAGTACAGAACCAGAGTGATAAAAATAGACAAAACCTGAAGAAATAGACATAGATGGCAAACACAAAACGATATAAAAGCAATCATTTTCCAACATCAGAACTCACTTAAAGATAAAGGGTTAAACGTTATTTTGCACTTAACTCCCCAAATTTAAAAGGAAAGGCTTGGAGAAAAACAATGTGACAAATTAAACAAGGAAGAGGAAATAGCAATATGATGAAGATATATGCGTGATGTTGTCGACCGCAAATCACCATTATTTTGATGTCAGAACAGAAGAACTCAGATGACACGCTGACGGCCTGTTTCCAGAGAAGACGGGGCGATATACCTTAGTGCAGCGCCATACGACTGTTTCCAGTGAAGATAGGACGATATATCTTAGTACAGCGCAATACAACTGTTTCCAGTAAAGATAGGGCGATATATCTTAGTGCAGCGCCATACGACTGCCATATATCCATCACAGAAACCACGTCAACTTTGCATGCTTGATTCTTCCACTGTACAACACGTAACTATTTTAAGGGGGCGGGGCGTAACTTGAAATTCTTACTCGTATCTTGATTATATGGTTTTATATATAGTCCAGTGCTATTGTAGTAATGTTTGTTGACATCTATTTATATGTACATTGTTTTCAGCACATACTGGTGCATAAATTACTATATATGATACATTGTTTTCAGCACATACTGGTGCATAAATTACTATATATGATACATTGTTTTCAGCACATACTGGTGCATAAATTACTATAAATGAATATCTAATCATCTATGTGTAAACAGCTAATTTTATCAGAGGGCCTTAAGTGCAACTCTTCTGCAGTGAAAAAACGTGCCAGTTGTTTACACTTGTTTATAAGTTTCACGTCTATTCGTTCACAATACAACGTATAACAGATTGATTAATTTTGCCCACACATAGGCCTAAACAACATAATGGAAACAGAATGAAAAGTAGGGCAATTCATTCAGAACACAACATTTCATTGATTACTGTGTGTGTGAAAGACGTAATATTGACGATTCGATTACGACAATAACAGCCAGAACAACAACGTTGAGTTAGACATAATTACGAAGACCCGTGCAGCCTGTCGTACAGAAGGCCTGTGGACCAAAACTTTGTTTAGTCTTAGCTTTTAGACCAAAATTATAGCCTACTAACTTCGACCTGTGATAATCTTTAGTAATCCAATAACATTAAATATTGTGCCCATTCTATGACAAGAAAGACCACCAATATTTAAAACCAACGCTTAATTTATTTAAGTGCACTACCTGTGTTTTGGATTTATCTTAAACCAAGTAGAACAATTCTTTGTATTGTAAAATTTGGGGCTAAAGTTATTATTTAAAAAACAGGTTCCGTAGGTGTGAGCCGTATCAAAATGCAAAACATCTTCACAATGCCTAATACTCGGATAATCCAATTATTGCTAATAATAACACCTTGCTCAGGTGTGAGTGCAATAGCAGACTGAAGAGAAAAGCTTGAAAACACCATTCACAGGTGTAAACAGCTTATTGAGCATAGTTGTCATAACATAGTTATGTGCGGATCTAGTAAAACAAGTGTTCTCGTAGAAATTAAAATGTTACAACTGCTACGTACAGGTTCTACCGCATGTTTTTGTCTCACATTTGTCGATCGCTACTGCCGAAAAGGATTTTGTACATGACAAAGGGACTTGCAGTGACAAACTCCACTTTCTGTTTGGCCTCCAAACAACAATCGATAATATCCAGGGCTTCTATATTCATTACTACAAAAACACCTACGTGCTCTGTACTACGACCATGACCCCGACTTGAACTTTGTTTGCTTATGTAACGCCAGGTTGTTGTTGTTATGCTAAATTGTAAGAAATCGTGTCGGCAAAGCGTAACCCATTGTGCTGTTTATTTTTAGATCCGCACAACAATATTTCGCACACCTGTTTGGCTGCAAAGAATGTCGAATACAACCCTCATTGCAACATTCAAGTAAGTCAGTTTATCAAACTGAATGCAACCAGAAAAACCAAGTACCTGGAGTTGGATTGTGTGAAATAATGATCAAACACGTGACAGTGGTTATGTTTCGACATGTTGTAAAAAGTAACCACCAACATAACTATAGCATCTCCGGGCAATGCTGGACAAGCCCGTATTTCCAGAAACAGACAATATTAATTGCCTTCATTGGAAATATGGCATGTATCAAAACATGCCACATTTAGAGCGAGTACCAATTCCACCGGGTTCGATCGCAATGGTACACAAATGCACTGAAATGCCACATTTCCGAATATTACATTTCCTAAAATGAGAGCATTAACAGGTTCATTAAAACTGGCTGGGGACTATCGAACGCCTGTCAATATTGTCTGATAGTGCCAGTGCCAAAACACCTGTGGTCATTACAGATATACGTACATGCATTACAAATGTGTTCTCATAATTGCAGGGCATATTATACGTTCTGCTACAGCATTCATATCAATCAGGGCTCGTGTTGCATGTTGTCTAGGTAACAGATCCGATAGATTTCAGAGTGGGAAAATGTTATGTTCGTGATTGAGATTCACACCTGGAAAAAAAGACAACGGATTGCCGAACGCTTGTGAGAAGAGAAAATGCGCAAGACTGGCACCAGTATCTGCAAGACCTCTCCTTAACAATATCTTGTAGATCCGACTAACCAGGATGTAGATTTCGGTAATGATACATGGACTTGAGCCCTGAGTTTCAGATCGAGATTCCTTTATGAGATCTCTATCAGTGGAAAAGCAAGGGGGTACTGATGAAAATGAAATAGATTAAGTTACATTTGCGACAGAAACAGTGAGATTTTATCTCAGCTTGGACATATTAACTAATTTGTCCATGATCTCAGTATTCTCTGTCACAAAATGCATGTCTGTCTGCTGAGCCAAGCGTTGATAAGGAAATCCATCCAGAAGTGAAAAGCCCGTGTTGATACTAGTTATTGGTTCTTAGAAATATATGAAAACCAGGGGGATGGTGTATGAACATTTTATGCAGCGAGCAGTAATATAGGAAATCCATCTTAAAACAGCATTTAAAGCAGATGAGCGTCTCTGCTGGGAGAAGAGAGGAGTTAACATGCAGAGAACATAAGCCAGCTGGTCTAATCCTATACCACAAATAAAAATACTTCCATTTCCAGGAATGTGTACCCTGAGTGTCATCGCCAACGTGAGTTAGCTTCTTATCTTCTCAAAATATTTGATGCCCTCTTGATAAGCGTGCACGTGTGGAGAACTGGGTTTAAGATGAAGGTGGCACGCATCGGGCAAGCACCTCAGGGTAGTATACCTAAACGTGTTAAACGAAAGCGAAAGTGCCGTAAAACACGAGATTCGTCCTCACTTTAATTATCAGGCAGCATGATGTCCACACACGACACTCGCCTCATATTTGCACCCGGATAACACGATGAATAATTCTTCATAACAAACCATAAATCAAACTGAATGTCAAACCTAACCTTGTTCCAGCTTATAAATTCTTATAATATCCAAGTCCCAGATACTTTACACGGGAAACGCCCCTTCAAGGACCCCTAAGCTAAAGGTGAAAGTAGATCTGATAAACCATGTCATGTCTTTCTATTTCTTTTCCTTTTTTCATCTTTAACAGTAAGTTTGCCTGCACTGAAGTTGCCGTCGGAGACTTAAAGGTTACATGCACTAGGTAGATCAGACTGTGCAAAATTCGGGCTGCATTAATAAAACGTACCACCGCCCTAGGATTAAAACCTGACTCATAACTCCAGTCAAAACCCGTCTTAGTTATAACAGGTTATAGGCCTCAAATGCCATGCATAAAAATCGACGTTGCTAGGAAACGTTCAGATTAAAGAGCGACTTATTGCTGTAATGTAGGAACCCAGTCAAAACCAGACACTTAGAAGATGCGCTTTAGGTCATTAATTTTAGTAGGAGGAAGTACAATTCAGCAAAAAGTAACTTATTCTTGGTGGGGAGTTGCAACGCGAGATATAGCTTAACCTGTGCAATAAACCGGGTCAAGCATAACGCAAGCTCTCTGTGGTACTCTTATGAAAGAAAACCTAGGTCACATTCAACGCCCATTTTCTTTTTTTTTACATTCGCGCGGTTACGTATAGTGCCCCTGCAAAGGTCAGGTGAAAATTCTGTGCCATCGAATACTTTGGCATCGATTGGAATAGTAATAAACACTCAAATTTCAGTCTGTAATTTTAATATGTAAACAAAATGGAACAATTATGTGAGATACAAGTATCAAAATCATGACAACAATTCGATGATATTTACATTGTAAATTACGTATACATGAATCATCCTTTTCCATTTATATAATATATGGTCGTAATGTACAGTCACACTCATTGCAGATATGGTATATCAATGTCTATGTCTCACGTTAACATAATAAGCTGCCTTTGGGAAATGTTTTTTCAGACCCTGTAGCGTTTGATCGAAGATTGTTTTGTGCGTCTGCAGTTCTCCTGGGTTTGACTGCAAAAGTCCGTGCTTCAATTCTCTGCAACTGCTATCAAATTGCACTTTTCCCTCGATTCAATAATGTTCGTCTTATCACATACACGTTTGTAATTTCGGATGAAAAGTGTCACTATCATTCTATCAAACAAATACGATGTACTTTTTAACAATATGTTGACAACGAGTTACTCAAGCATGCCTGAGAAAGACTGTCATTTTTCAAGTCTCTGTAGGTCGCCATAAAATGTCTACATCGAAACAGAACCGACTAATATAGTCCTTTCTCAAGTTCTATATCATCCAAATGGACAATTCACTTCCCAAATCTACAAATATCTCCAAGTCATGGTGAACAAAAGTTTGTGATTCAAAACAGCGCTATCGTTATAATCGCATTAAATGATATGTAGTAGGCTACCTACTTCTAATTTGTCTAAATCATGATGGGGCCACGCCCCCTTTATGTATTGTTTGAGCGAGTGAATGAAATCGAGAAAGCACGAGATAGTCATCTAATTTACAATGCCTGCGGTCAGAGATGTCTATAATGCGAATGATGAAATCCCCGATGTATGAAGGGAGGCGTTGCCTGTGGCTGGCAATACTGCGTCCTGGTATCTTGTTGTTAGATAGTTCGCAGCGTCGGTGAGCTGATGCAAGACGTTGAACAGTCCACTGAGATGATGTCGGAACATTTTGGCAGTCTGTTTCGACTGTTCGTCCATATTTTCTGTCTCATCGTCCGCGTCCGTGTCTAGAGACCCCGGTCCACGTACGAGCTCGTTTTTGACCGCGTTTAGCATGCGGTAGCAGCTCAATAAGTCTGTATTGTTCATTTCCATCCCCACCGGTATCACGGCCTTTTCCTGCGAGTTGTTTGTGTCGGGGATAATCTCAATATCCATGTCTCGAAGGCGACTGGGAATCATAACAGTGCTGTCCATGCTATCGACGGCTTGCACAAATTTATTCATACAGGCCGAGAGAGATTGTTTCGCTGGCCGTTCAAGGTTGTTCACGTTGTTATAATTCCATCTCGGGTTTGAATTCTCCTCCATGGTGAATTTCTGTTTAGGGTACGTCTCGCTCCTCAAACGGCTGCCTAAAAATGTGGGTTGTTGTCTAGAATTCTGGTCGATATTTCTCTGACACCGAATTACTCCTGAATCGATCACAGCACTGATGTGATGGTACTGTTTGTGTATATTTGTTTCCTGATCCAAGGTCAGTCGATTTTAACTCTGAGGGGTAGAAGGTTGGAATAGCCGGTACCAACATTGTTAAATACTTCCAAATTTTAAACAATATTTTGGCTTCAATTTAATTTTGATGATACTCAGTATTTATCTTTTAATAACTTTGCTACTAAATATAAAGTTTTTAGCTGATTATTCTGTTTAAGAGAAAAGAAAACGAGACTGCCCTACAACCTTTCTCCCCGTACGTTGAACGCAAATCACGTTATCTTAGCCTCGTTTTGATTGGTCTGCATGGCGTGATCATGCGGTTTTCCGTTGTAAGCCTTTTATTTTCACATGCTACCGGGAATGATCGAAGCTCTTGTACAAATAAACAATACTTCCTTGCATTATTGTCGCCCTTTTCAATACTTACGGTATTGTAATATTTAAAGTAGGGCAGATTATTTTTAGATCTTGCAAGCCTCTTTGGTTTGTGTTTACTACGTTTAATCATTAATTACAGCGTATTGTGCATGGTGATGTACCAAACAACCCCACTTTGCGCAAAATAGGTTAGGCCTACCTGTCGCCCAAGGTGCCTTAGTCAAATGTACTAGTTTATATCGCAAATAAATAAATGAATATTAAATAAAGAAATAAATAGTTGAATAATAAAAAGAATGAAAATTTAGATGACCCGGAAAATTAATTTAATCATGATAAAATTATAATTATAATAGCTATGGTGGTGATGATGAGAATATTAACAATAAAAAATTATTTGTTAATAATACACGGCCTTATTCTACATATTCTTTCATATTGTTTTAGTGGCACTTGAGACGGGCATGTGTTCATATATATGTGTGTGTGTGTGTGTCGTTTGAAATTGAAATTACTAGTTAAACTATAGTATATTCTCAGTCCTGACCTAATATCTGGTTTTTACAGAATTACAGTTATAGTCGCGCTAGGGTCAGACGGCCATATACTGGTATGTTATACTGTAGGCCTACGAAAAAAACGTACGTCCTTGCATCAGCCAGTTTTTAGACATGACCGGTGCGAGTATACCAAATTATTATAGGGAAATGAGGTGCGCTTGACATTTATAAATATGTAATGCATTGACTCACGTTATTAGGAGAAAAATATTCAATCTGGTGACATTTAATATGGTCTAATATTTGAGCAGGGCTATGCACAGCATGCCCGTAGCCAGGGGGGGGGTCGGGGGGTTCGAAAGAACCGCCCTTTTTGCTGGAAAAAGTCCACTCTGGGTAAAATTTGATCTAGGTACATAAAAATTTTATGGTAAAAGGTCCACTTTTTCAGAAAAAGAACCCCCCACTTGAAATTGCTGGCTAAGGGCCTGCACAGGGTAGAATGTGTGTGTGTGTGTGTGCTGGGTGGGGGGCAGCTAGTTTTCTTGGGTTGTCAGTGGAGTGGAGACAAGGAATACTACAAATTTCAGTGCATTCCGTGTAATTTCAAAACAAACGAATTTTTTATACTATCCAAGATAAAGAACACGTCAAACAGCAAGCGAGTTTAAAATTGTTTCCATCATGCGAGCTGTTTTGTTTTGAAGATTTGGCGATTGCTGCAGGTGCGCTACGTTTAGCGCTGGTCAGCTTGTCTCACCTAACGCAATACATAATTTTCAATGCAGTCTTGCTTTTGCCAAGCAGACCGGGAGACGGGGAGAGTGTACTCATCAGCATACCAGCACTCCCGAAGGGAGAGGGGGGGGGGGGGAGCAGGAGGGGGCAAAATTAACTAAATTACTATCCGTGGCTTCAGTGAGTAGCTTCTTGATTAAAAAGAAATGCATTAGGTTTTGGCTTCGCAATTAAGTAGGCTACAATGATTTCCTTATGAAATGACTGAATTAACTAGCTTTATTAACGTTAAACTTAAAAGCAGTTTGAAAGTTTGGTCTTCATAAGTATATTGATTCCAAGTGAAATTAATCAAATGGCTTCAGTAAAGGGCTTCACACTGAACCCTGGGGAAAGGTTTTGCACTTCACATAATTATGTACAATGATAAAAAGTTTCAATTTTAATTTAAAAATTATAGACCCAAAGTTATGTATTAAAAATGAAATAAACTAGTAATTGATATTTATTTCACATATATATATGGCAGTTGATGTTTTTCAACAATCAGTTAAAAAACAAAGCAGTAAACATTTTCCTTAAAAAATTCCGTATACAGATACAAACAACTTGGAAAAAAGCATACCTGCATTCTAAAAGCAAAGCACACTTGCATAATTTAAAATGCATACTGAATATTATATAAACAGAAGTAATACTGAGATATCTCTCATTGGCATATGCATAGTGATACTGTTATTTGCACAGAAGAACATACTGGTTAGGTATCTATCTGAAAACACTACAAAAATGCCAAAGAGTCATAATAATCTAGGCATTTACAGCATTTTTACAGAGATTCATTCTAAAAAAAAATATTTTGATTTTTGCCATGCAAGCACCACCATGACTAAAATGACTGATTAGAATTATTTAGTTTTTCAAAATGTTAATTATGTCAGTGGTCCTTATTCTGTTATACATTAGTATTTCTCTTACTTTACACTGGACGGCATAATTCAGTCACCACGAGTTTCAGAGACACCTTACTGGAAACTAACCCTCAAATTATCATACATCTCCCATTTCCATTAATTGTATTTTGTCCACATTTGAAAAAAATGTAGGTCTATATATCCTGAAAAGCTACTTATGAGTACCTTTCCAATTTGAGAACCTATTATAGTAAGTATACGCTCGATATTGCATGTACATTGAGATGTTGGGCTAATGAACTATATTCAGTCATTTAAAATGAAATTATAAATATAAGAATTAATAGCCTATAACATCAAATCCAAGTGCAAGGAAAAGCCAAGCTTAATTATGATTGCTGTGCAGTTAAGTTTTTTTTTTTTTAGAGGAAAATTTGATGTCGCAGGAAAATCACAGTAAGGGTTAGAATACAGAGCATATGCCAGATGAAGGTGCAAATCACCATCAGCAAGCACTTTGAAGCACAATAAAGGTCTACTGCACTGTGGATTTCCAGGGGCAGATCCAGACATATTTTCTGACAGGCTTCCAAATTATCTTTATTGTGCCATCCTCCATTTTTGACTGTCTTCCGACAGGAAAAATAAGATACCCGTCAATGTAAACTTGAAAATCTGACCGTCCTCCAGAAGACCCAGAAGACGGCCTAAATCTGCTCCTGATTTCTGTAATAACCCAAACATGTCAAAACTAAGCACTTCCAAGAAATTACAGAATTAAAATTTAAGCATAATTGTCGTATGGTGTTTTTCTTGCCTCAAGTCTGCGGAGAGACACTTTTCTCATAACCACTGTCTGTTGACTGCATGGATTGAAAGTTTGCATTGGGTATGTCAAGAGCCTTGCCCAGACCTTGAGGTTCTGGGTGACCTCCAATGTGACCTTGACCTTCACTTTTAGCTTGACCTTCACCTTTCATGTCTACCATAATTTGATTTGGATTGGCCTGGTGACCTTCTGGGCAGCTACCAATGCTATTCATGTCTATTATTTCATGAGAAGTTGAGTCTGGATGTTCAGGAGATGTACTGGAATGGATGTCTACTTTGATTTCTGTGACATCTGGGTCGTTTGGTGGGAAGAAAACATTGTCATCAATTTCTACAGGAATGGGGATAGCAGACGGTGTAGGGCAGCTCAAAGAGTGAGAATTTGTTGAAGAAATCAAAGGGCAGTGTGCAGACGTGCTTGATGTGCTCTCCTGACCAGGGCGTCTGTTGGATGTTGTTAAATTTCCACGGACCTTTTGGATTTTCTGGGGTGGTAAATACAAGCGTAGTTTTTTCCAAAACATTTCATTTTTCTTGGCAATATTCTGCGATGAAACACCTCCTTCCTCATCAACAGGGTGCCATCGCAATTTTTTCAGCACCTTTAATGCCTTCTGAACAAGTTCTTTGTCCCTGTTCTTCTTTTTGTATGCCTCCCACTCGCTGTCTTGGATATCTTCAAATAGGATGAAAACTATGCGCCGATGCTCTTTCACAGCTACATGAAAGATGAAGTCAAAGTATGGCTCCTCCAGCATGGCGCGCGAGAGAACTATGATGAAGCAACGACTGGAGCTCACTGCATTGTCCAATAGTGTTGGAATAGCTGAAATATTAAAAAAAAGATTTTGTGACCGGAAATTAATTAAGCACTCGGTGAGCACTGATCTCCACCAAGGAAGCTCCAAGAATTCTCAATTTTAATTTATTAATTTTTTTATAATTAATTAATCTTGTCGGTTCTGATTATGTAAGCCACTTTCTAAATTTATCCTGAAAATTTCATCAAGATGCATCTGTCACTTTTTGGGTAAGGTAGTCAAATTGATGACAAAGTCAGACAAACCAACAAAGGGAAATAAATAAATAATAAGCTAATTAATTATAACTGGTTATATTTTGTGTAATTTTGGGTGCATATATTAGCTCCTGAATGAGTGAGGATGGAAATGGTGAAAAAAATAATCAGAAATGACTCACATTCTCCACATCTGAAGTCCCGAGCCTCTATAATTATCTTATACTTAAACTCTCCTTCCAGCTTGGGCCTTAGTTTTCTGTGCACAAATAGCCTCTCCCTGTCACACTTCTGAGATACATAGACAAATGCATCGTGTTCTTTATCATCTGAAAGAAAATAAATAAATAAATAAAAACAAAGGAATAAAGGAATAAATAAAAAAATTGTCGAATCAACTGATGATTAATTAAATTACATGTATTCATAAAATGGAATTAGAAAAAACACATATGATTTTGTAGAATAAGTAGAAAAATATAATAAATGATCAAATGATACCACAGTAATAATCCACTTTCCTGATTTCTTTAACAATTAAAATGCTATTTTTTTCTTATCAATATACAGACTTTGTTTTCAACTTTGATTTCCATGTCAAATGCCAGTGTTGAAAAACTGTCTACATAAAGACAAATTTCAATGCATAAATTATGCTCTCCCTTTCCATAACTTAACAAACACAAAAAAATGTACCTTTGATTTATTTGTAGAAAATATTTTAGTTTCAATATCTAAATGCTCACCTTCTTGTTTATGACTAAATTTATCTTTCCACAAAAGTCTTATCTCCACCTGATATTTAACCAGAATAACAACTACTGTTACAACAAGAATTATAGCTGCCACAAGAGAAACTGAAAGAATGACGCTTTGTTTCCTTGTCCAGTAATTAGGAGCTGAAGGTTCTGAAATGTAGAATGTGAATGAATTAGTAATCTATCAGGCAAGATAAAACTTGAGCAAAAATGTTAATTAGCTTGGTACTTGAACCATATGAAAATGAAAAATTATCAAACAAAAGCCGAAAAACTTTCATACCGTTAGCTTACAGCCAACCTAGCTGGACCTGGCTAAGCTAATATTCCAGCAAAGCTAATTTCTCCTTCTCAATTCAGGTCTTGAAAATGATAAACCCCCTTTTATAAAAGTGTCTGCTGTTGATATTTTCTTCTAAAATGTGGGGAAGGCATGACAGTCAAATGGCTGGCAGGAATTTCAGAGCTTAAGATTTTAATTAAAAATGGCATCATAAAACAGAGAATCCAAGTGAAAGGCCAAGTTGAGCAATGACTTGTGAGTACTAGAATTGCTTCTCCCATAAGGAAAACTCAATTTGTCATGAAAATCCTGGATAGTAAACCTGTAACCACATATATGTTGCTTTATCAAACTTACTTGGTGGGGTCCGAACTAGATGAGCCAACACTGTGGGTTGTGGATCGATTCCATTTGCCATTACGCACTTGAAAACTTTGGTGTAGTCTTCCACCTGTACATCTGTTACTATAAGGTATGCCCCCAGTATCATATTGTCATACCTGTGAGAAATATGAATTTTTACTTCACATTTTCAGTCAATTTGGGACCACTTTACTTATTGCATACTGTATTCAGCATGGTCTGTTACAGAAAAGAACCTAAAATAGTCTCTAAACTTTTAGAATAAAATTTAAGTCTAGTTTGTCCCAGGCAAATCCATACCTTCAACTGTAAACAGATGAGAAAATAAATAATTATCTTTTGTGCATTTCTCTAATTTTTGTACCTTGCCTCCTTCGTCACAGAAAACCTTGGCCCAACATCTTCAACGTCTCGCCAGATGGTGTCATTATTTGCTGTTGTCGTGAAATTTGTCAGCCATCTTATGACATTTGGAGTAGAGCTGGCATTGTCGCGACCTAGGAAACCTTCACAGAATAAAGTAACATTTTCTCCAGGAAGAGTCTGTTTGACAATTCTGTATCCCTTGGTAATCTTGTCTTTTGGAGGGAAGGTCACAGTTGGGGGATCAGTTATACCTGAGCAGGCTGAAATAATGTAAGAGATATAATAATAATAATAATAATAATAATAATAATAATAATAAAGGTTTTTTTCACCCATTGTATATATATATATTTTTAAAATACATACTACATGTAAAACAGGCATCATGCTGCCATTTCAAATTTAAAAAAAAAATGAAATAAAATTAACTGGCTAAAAGAGAAAAGGTCATTTTTATGGACCACTCTAAAAATATACTCACAGACAGCATTTAATTTCAACTCATGAGTAATATTCCTCCCATCATCTCCCTCAGCCACGCATCTATACCAAGCATCGTCTTTTGTATGCACAGAACTTATCAGCAAAGTAACGTTGCGATCCAGCAAGCGGTATCCATTTTCTCGGTTGATCCAGTCTGTGGGTGGAAATGGGTCCCAGGTGTCCGAGTCCCTGGATTTCTGGTACCAAGTTAGGTTGGTGAAGCCTGCGGCACAGCAGTACAAAGACTTGCTGGGTCCCTTACAGGCATAGTCCATGTCCCCTAGTTCTCTGCTCCATCTTAGTGGGCTATCTTGAAAAACCATGTTTTTAAAAAATAAATTAATAAATGAAATGACAAATAAATAAACACTGAATATAAATTCATCCTATGATGGTCAAGTTAACTGGTAAAACAAAATTTAAAAATAGTGATGTAAAAAGTAAACGTTATTTTTAACTTTTACATTTTTTTCTTTGAAATATTAAAAAATTAGATATGTTATGAATGTTTCTTATATCATGATAATTGAATTCTAATTTTCTTTCTTTTTTTCTGTTATAAAAAAGGTTACCTTCTTTGACATCTGAGGGGCAATAGTTGAACTCAGACGATAGGACCTCACCCTGTAACACCAACAGTACCAGTAGAATTGTAGAAAAAGCCATTGTCAGTGGGTTTGGGAGGTTGGGGGAGTGGAGGTGACCTGAAAGCACAGATGGAACATAATGAAATATCAGTATATTGTTAGTAATGAGCACAGTGCAAGCTCTTGTACTAAAAGCATTAAGTGGAAATGGAAATAAGTTTAAATTGAGTATATTTTTGAAATTGACCTAAATAATTGCACATATGCATACTCATGCACACAGAGCTGTAAGCTTAGTCATTTTCTTTATGACTGTATTTACATTTTTTTAATTCAATGTACAGGCTCAGTTTAAGAACAAACATGAATAAATAAACAGGAGTGCTTTAGGTTAAGTAGTTAAGGGTTTGTCCTGAGTTTAAGGCTAGATTATAAGCTTCCAGGTGCTTATTGCACCCCCCCCCCCTCAAAAAAAAATGTGCTAATCAAGTAAATTAGTTGGAAAATTTTCAAAATTATTTTTTAATTTTCACAAGAGACTTCAAACCCATTCAAATATAAGAGGGGCAGAGGTCATTTCAAGGATGGACATTAAAAATCAGTAAATAAATTTCCAAAATTGTTACTTGAACAGCAGAGACATTGACCAAAGTCTGGAATTTAAAAAAAAATCAAAAATCCAAGAATTTAGTGAATAAGAGAGCGTGGGTACAGTATTTTGAACGTCTGATAGTCAGCCGGAAAGCCAGGGTCACCGTGACATAATTGGCAAAATGAAGAAGAAACCCACGCAAAAAATTTCCCAACACGTAACAATCACGCGCATATATGCAATAATAAACCGCAAAGAATCTAGTTTTGTGATACTTTTTAAAATGTTTCCACCAACTACATAAGTTATCAGGAATACTGAACTAAAGTTCGTTCATGCCATGCAGTCTGAACCCATCACAGGTGGCAAAACATACCCGCCTGTACGTAAATTTACCTGTCCTTTTCCTTCTCAGCGCACCTTCAACGACCGTTTACTCTTACTTCATCTGGTGCGATATCACACGTGCTACTTGGCGGACTTAACCTATCGCAGTCACTCATTCCCCTTGTACCTTTAAGGCTTTAACCACAGCACAAGGTGTACAAGTCTTACAATGTGATCAAAAATGTATGAATCTGTACGATACCTGCGACTTATCTCACGGCCACTGAAGTGAGTCATTGTCTAGCGCCGTGATTGCTTTCGCTTTTTTTCACTGGAAAAGGCTTTGAGTAACGCTAGTTACCCACGCGAAGCACCCCTACCTACTGATAAGCACCGACCTAAATTTTATAATGTCAAGAATAGTGCTGCCAAATTTCCCACGTGAACGTGTTTTAACTTACAGATCAGTTTGTATTTGTGAATGAATCCGGAAGTTCGTTGGAATGACAAAAGAACAGGAAAAAAAGTACAATAGTCAATATTGGCACGAGTACAATAGGGGGAAGAAGAGTAGGGGGATTTTTTCACAAAATAGAATAAAAGTAGAAAAACAATTGACTTGATCGATCAACAAATATTTTTGCGTTACATTTTTTTCAGCGAAAATGATCGAACAGCCATGTATAGATAAATAAACCTACCCCCTCCCTTTCAAAAAAGGGGAGCGCATTCAGCACCGTTTTAACATGAAAATGTTTATAAACTAACTTTCTCTCTCTTATTCTGCTCTTGAATAGCACTTAACCTTTGGTGTGTTTGTAAGAGGGGGGGNCATTTGTAAGGCTGAAACAACAGAAAGGGTTGAATAAAAAATTCAGTATAATTTAGAAGTATTTAAAAACGGGGGGGGGAGGCAGGGAGGTGACTGTAATTTTCAAAGGCTATTATAACTGAAAAAAAAATCTGCCCATGTAAGTTCCAAAGGTGTGCAGCTGTATCATGTGACATCTGAGGAGCAAAAATACAACACCCAAAAATCTGAATTTACAGATAAATTCAGAAATTTTTCAATCTTTTTGAAGAAATTGTTTTTCTTTTTTTCTTCCACAATAGGTGGTACTTTATTAAACCTGATTTTATAACATTCAATATGCATACATATCTGAAAATTACAATCTAAATATTTTAAGGTTTTTTACGAGTATTTTTACTAACAGTAAGCTGTCACTGGCCAAAACAAGTCTTGAGCGATGCAAAATGTACAAAACTCACATTGATAGCCCACTATACTAACATTGCATCAATTTTTCCTTGCACATTTGACATTTATAAATGATTGTATTAAATGACTCACAGGAAACATTTATCAACAGTAATACAGAGTTGATTATCAACGATAACAGCTTCAAAATTATCTGACTTTAAGCTGTCTCAGCTTAAATTGAACAGCACGTAAACATGTACATAGTGAAGCGTTCACATACAGTCCTTAACATCATAATCTCATTTTTGCAAGATGTGCTTCATCTGTAAAAAAAAAAAAATTTTTTTAATAAAAAAAAAAAAAATTAAATCAGACACTTGGTGTTTTGTGAGGTTTTTATACTAATCTACACCAGTCAACCTGCATTTCAGTAGAAACACTGACAAAACAGCCTTCCTAGTAAGGAAGAGTCGCTCTCAAAACTATGAAACTCAGCCTGCTACAAGACAAGTTTCAATAGTTAAGGGACATTTCAACAAAAGCACTCTAGCCTGATAATTAGTCTCAACTTAGAGAGTAAACTTTGGTCTTCTTCCAGAAAAATCCTTATTAGTTCACTTAACAAAAGTATATACTGGTCTCAAACATTAACCACACCTTTCTCATTATAAAGCAGGAGTAATATTAAATTCAACTGAACAAATACCTAATTATCTTGGATCAAAGTAAATTCAAATTGTGGACTCAAAGTTGAAGCAAATTTCCAGGCTAAATTCCTTTTGTGAAATAGGTCCTTATTCTTAGTCACCAAACTGTTGGTATCCAATCTACGTTTCAACAGTCATTTGATATCATGCAGTACAAGATATGTTGGTAGATCTCTATGACACCTGTGCACCTCTGACCTAGATTTTCAGGTGGTACAGGCAATTCCAGTTGCTATGATATTGAAGGTCTTCCATCAGCATGGCCTTCAATGAAAGCTTGTGCTAACTTGCTATTGTATAATAGTCTTTTTGACCACTGGCTGTTTTATATAATCCTGAACTGTGCACTTTTTTCTGTAACTCCCTGTATATTTCTTATTAATCTGCTTGAAATTATGCTCTGAAAACTGAAATTTCCATTTCAAGACACTTTTCACATAAATGGTACAAATATTCTCAAAGTTTAAAAGCAGTTTTTCCATGTATGTCACACTTTTAATGTTACGGCTGTCCCCAAATATCTTAAAATAGTACCTGATTGTCTTAAAACTTTGGACACACTTTTGACATTTGTAGATCTTACATTATTCAGTGGACTAAGATCTATTTCCAAATGATTCAGTTTCTCCAACATTTGCAGATGATCCCAAAAAGTTGTGCACACTTTCTGTATTTTAAGTTATAATCAACTACAGCTGCTTCCAAATGTCACAACACTTCTCCTTTAAAAGGTAACATTATCAAACACAATATATACTGCACTGCATTTGAATTGTACAATTGTTTCCAGATGTCACTATATTTTTCATATGAAGAAACACAGATGATCTGAAAAAGTTGTGTACACCATTCTGTGTATAAAATTGTTTTTTTTTTCCTTTCTAGCTACATTTGTTTCCCCAATGTTATAATACTTTGCATTTNACAATAGGGGGAAGAAGAGTAGGGGGATTTTTCACAAAATAGAATAAAAGTAGAAAAACAATTGACTTGATCGATCAACAAATATTTTTGCGTTACATTTTATATCAGCGGAAATGACCGAACAGCCATGTATAGATAAATAAACCTACCCCCTCCCTTTCAAAAAAAGAGAGCGCATTCAGCACCGTTTTAACATGAAAATGTTTATAAACTAACTTTCTCTCTCTTAGGCCGTATTCCCAGAGCTTTTAGATCGATCTATCCCCGCGGGGAGTCTCACTAGATTACTGTCAGATAATCCGGCTTAAATGTCCGTCCCGCCTACTACAAGTTGTAAGAGGGTATTTAACTTTCGTATCCGCTCGGTTGACAGCTGTTTAGCGTGAACCCCCAGGGAGTTAGGTCGATCTAAAGTAGATCAATCTAATTTCTGGAAATGCGGTCTTATTCTGCTCTTGAATAGCACTTAACCTTTGGTGTGTTTGTAAGAGGGGGGGGGGGGG